GTCTCAGAATAAGTTCATTAGAGCACTCACTTATAACTCATTGATTAGGACTCTGGAATGCCAAACTCAGTCCATTTTGCTTCTACCATCACCATCAGTCCTGGAATAGAAGATGCTAATGACCTGGAAGATGCCCCCTGACTGTCCAGGGCAGGCTCATGTCCCAAACAGGCACTTCCTAATCCCCACACTTTTTCTCGTACCCCACTCTTCCAGATACCAGAGCTGCCTGTCCTTATTACAGTCCCTCTGCATGGGCCCTGGGCCACCTCAGTGGTAGCAGGTCACAATGAGCCCCACCTTGTAAGGTCCTAGATCTCTCACTTTGGTGGATGGCTCTCGGAAAGCCTCTGAAGAAGGATCCACCTGGCCGGCCCAAGCACTCCAGCATGGCCACCAAGGCCTCTATCTAGTCTGCTCCTCAGTGTTCATCAGCCTAGCTGACGACACCCCAGAAGGCCCACTGCAAGGCTGCTGTTCTAAGGGGCACTTCTCACTCAGAGGGGAACACAGCCTTCCTCATCTTCCTGGACTAACTTCAGTAGTGGGAAGCCAGAGGTGGTCAAAGCTGAGAGGGGCCCAAGCACGCACTACAGCCTCTGGGTCTGAATGTCCTGTGGCCAACTGCCCTGCTCCCTGCCGCGGGGTGCCCAGGCACAGGACGTATTCCAGGTCCCTACTCACCCAGCGCCCGGGGCAGGTACTCAGCATCACCCCCAGTCTGGGGTACCATGCACTTCTGAAAACTGGAGAGCTCACAGAGGGGCTACTCAAACGTCCATCAGTCTGGCTGCCGTTTGGCAGCATCTTAGTAATTTGCCCCAACCACGTCTGAGGTTCCCTGACCTCCCCCCAACTAAGGTCAATAGCTGATGGTTTGGGCTCTGGGTTCTAATGAGATAGGGGGAAAAGAGCTGCCGTCATTTTGTCCTTGAGACAACCTCTCTTCATGTGATCTGGCCTAATGACTCCTTATAGGGAAAAGATAAAAGACAAAAGAAGCCATGTCTGATTTTTCTTTCACTGGAAAATTACCATAAAGACTACGAAATTAGGCCCAGAGGAGGACAACAAGAAGTATGGAGGGAGTGATGCCAAGAAGGATAACTGCGTATGTTATTAAAGTGATAAAGGATGACATAGGTGTACATTCCTCAGTTTTCCTTCAGCCAAGTCCTCCCACAGAAATGACCTACAGAATGACGCAGAGGGGTGTAGGCCTTGGCTCTGCCACTTGCTATATGATCGTGGCTAATCTCAGACTGATCTGACAATATGGATAATGTCTGTAACGCTTCACTGTGATAATTACAGAAGATAATGAATGTGAAAGTGCCTATCAGAGTGCCCACGGCATAGCTGAGGCTAAATAAATATGTGTTTCCTTATTTCCCTTATTTTAATTAGTGCATGACACATTCATTCATTTGCCAAGAATGTCATTTCACAGGCAGAGGCTCCCCAAGACCTGATGACCCAGCTCGCTGTAGCCAGGGCTCCTCCTGTGTTCAAAGCCAAGCCCAGCTTTTATACCCATGAGCCTGTCTCCTGCGCCTCCCTGTTTCTACCCCTGCAGTTTTCTCTTGACCCTCTATTTATTTATAGGACTGCTTTAAACTACCTCTGACTTGAGTGACACTTCCTCACAAGGTGGACTGTGTGACTTTTTTCCTTGTTTTTCAACACTGCACACAGAAGTGCCAGAATGTGATTTGCTTCGGTGATGACTCCTTCGTGAATACCACATACAAGGCGTAAGTTTATCTTATCTAGCTAGTAAATGTGTAACAAATACACACACTAGGAATCATAGTAACTGGGTGGGTAGAACACTGGACTTGCAGCCAGAAGTCCTAAGTTCAAATTCTTAACCTGACACTACCCAGCTGTGTGACTCTCAGCCTCATTTTATTCGTCAGCCTCAGTTTTCTCATTTATGAAATGGAGATAATAAGACCTACTGCTAGTCACACAGATGCTCTCTCTCTCACCCTCCAAATGCGGGCAGTTAAATGCTTCAGTATTCACTCTGTCCTCAGGAAGGAGGAACACTGATGGGGGGGACTGAAAAAGAAAGGAATCTTTCAGGACGCCATTCGGCTGCCCCGAGAGTCAATGCAGTGTTAAGTACGCCAGAATGTAGGGAACTGGACTCGGGCCTGCAGGGGCTGCCTTCTCCTGTCCCTTCCCTTTGGCCGATTCTGTTGGTTTGTCTTCAAGGGATGAGCCTTTCCCACCGGGCCAAGTGGTTCCGGTGCTCCGAGGGCAAGCAGGAGCTGGGTGGGGATGGGAATGTGAAAGTAAGCACAGATGGTTTAGGTCAGGTGAGCTCGAATGGCTCTCATTTATTAAACTTGCTTCCTCCTTCCACTGTCGGGAGCAATAAGACCCCATGTTCGGGCCTAGGAGAAAAAGGAACAGAAACTGGAAAGCTCAAACCACCCATGGGTAGAGGCAAAAGAACTACCTGAAGGTCACGAGGGGCCCAGACTGGCCAACTAAAGGACGGACCAGCCCTGACCAGTTCTGACGGACTTGACAGAAATAAAAAGTGTTTTTTGTTTTTTGTCCCCTCTTTTAAAAAAAGCGGATTTTTAACAAGGCTGTCCTCAGTGACACTGCGAGTGGGAGTGTCACAACAGTTGGTAGTTAAAAGGTTAAGGATTTGAGACTTTGACTATTTTTTTAATGTGTTTTTAAATCGTGGTAAAAAACACATTAATACAAAATTTACCATTTTAACCATTTTTCAGTGTTAAAAACATATTCACATTACTGTGAAAAGATCTCCAGAACTTTTTCATCTTGCAAAACCAAAACACTATATCCACTGACCAAGTCCCCTTTCCCTCTGGAAGCCCCTAGTAACCACCATTCTACTTTCTGTTTCTATGTATTTAACTACTTTAACTATCTCAGATTCTGGCTATTTTTATACCTGGGTCACAACACACCACTTGTACTGTTTGGCACACCAGAGTGAGCATGTACAGGGGAGAGGTTATGTGATGCAAGTTCACCCAGGAAGCACCAAGTGCACGAGCAACTCACTTCTTATAGCCAAAGATTCATACAGAGAGACAAAAGTCCTAAAATTGGGTAAAATCTGACACTCATAATTCAGGCTTAGCATGGATAGAAATTCATCACCATCCCACTATCAAAAAGGACCAGTGGGGGTGACCGGTTAGCTCACGTGGTTAGGGCGCAGTGCTCATAACACCAAGGTTACCTGTTCAATCCCCACATGGGCCACTGTGAGCTGCGCCCTCCTTAAAAGAATCAACTATGCCATTGTAGCATGAAAACAATGTGTAACCAATTACCATAGCTGTTCCCCAATAAAATTAAAAAAAAAAAAGGGGGCCAGTGAATAGTTACAACAAACAAGGCAGAACCCCATCATTTGGGCTTCTGGCTTGTAGGGCTGGCACTGGTTGGCGAGCAGTGTTCCTTTTGGAAAGGTATGCTACTAAAGACTAGTATCAACTTTGGCCAGCAGTCTCAGCAAATACTCCTCACCTCTAGGTACTCCAGGTGGGAATGTGCACAGGACTAGACCAGAAAAGCCCAACACATGAACCTGCAGTTGTCAGCTAGGCCTGGGAGTCCAATTCCCGCCGCAGCGGTCTATGGCAGGCCAGATCACACGGAGAATGCTTTTTCCCTATATTAGTGATAACCTTGAGTTTGAGACCAACGTCAGCATTGGCATGAACAGGAATTCCTAAAATACCAGACCTGTACCCCAGGTCTTATAACCCATAATGAATAAGGGTGGCTGAGGGTACCCAAGTCAGCAATGGAGAGAATGGAGCCAGAGAGAGACCTGCCCAGACTTCCACACAGGGCAGACTCCTGGAAATCAGGCCCTGTCTGTCCGGAAGCGGCCCCAGTCTTCCTGCTCTAGCCATGGAGAGTTAGGAAACAGAAAAGCTACCACACATGCCGTTGGCTTTACCTTCTAAATGGGCACAGTAACTAGGCCCATGAGGACAGAGGCCACTGAAATGTCCTCTACATCCCCAAGTCAATTCTCGTGCCATGGAGAAGTGAATTCAGGGGACGGAGAGGCCCGGAAGCAGAGAAGCCAGCCTTTGGTGGTGAGGGGACAAGAGGCTGCAAGTCCCCACGCGGCCAGCAGCTCTTGAGGCAGGGTCCCTCTTTCTATTGCTTCCTAGCTATGCATGGAAATCATGTAAAACTTTATGATGTGTGGACCAGAGATCCAGACTGCATGTTCAACTAGAGCACCTTGGATTTCAGCAATGATAAAATAAAGACGAACGAATACCTGTCCTATGTAAGACATATGCTGTCTTGAATTAAGCTGAAGAGGAGAAAACACTCATTAAAAAATGATCACACATCCAAAGGCGCAAAAGAAAACAAGGGAAAAACCGCTTGTGCTGGAAACACGACGGCTCTCTGAGTCAGGCCTGCACAGACTGACAGAAAACCACACTTCCCAGATCAGGAGACCTTCAGGATCCCGTAATTTAAGGAGAGGGCTGGTGTTCAGGCTTTAGAAAAACATACCAGCAGCTTACGGAATTACAAACTCAACTGGAAAGAGTTTGATAGCTCAGTAGAGAGAGGAACGATGGGAAAGAAAAGCAAGCTGGCAAGTCCCGAAACCAGGTCCTTGGCCCAGAAGGCCTCCAAGACAGCAGGGGCAATGGGGCAGGCAGAGCGAGCTGTGTTCACCGACGGGGCTTGTGAAAAGAAAATCAAACTGCTGGAGAACAAGAGGAGCTCCAGGTGGGACAGAGTTGTTTCCGCTGTCTTTAGAGTGACGGAAGGCTGTCCCAGGGCTGGGGAGCTCTAACGCCAGAAAGAGGTAGGGCTTTTAGGAAAACCACGAGGTGGGGAGATTTTCTTCCTCACTCAGCCCCAAAGGGCACAGCCTTAGGAAAAAACTCCAGAGATGGCTTCAGTTTAGAAATACCCGAGGGGGATTCTCCATGGAGGAAAAATGGTGAAACAAGGGGAGAACTTACCAGTGTCAGGAGTCAAAACCCCCAAGACATTCCAGAACAGGAGGCAGAGGCAGGGTCCACAGTGGCGGAAGGCTACAGAGGTCCGAGGAGCCTGCTGGGGGGAGAAATGCAGAGAGAAAAGGAGCAGGTTTGTATCGTGGAGGACTCAGGATCATGTTTTTGAAGGACTGGCTATTATAAATGTGGGGTCCTAGCTCAGAAGCCAGGGTAGACCCACTTACATTTGGGGTTTATATAAATATATGGGACTCAAGTCATGTAGAGCCAAAGAGGGCACGAGAGCATCTGAGAAACCCTAGAAAGGAAAATCCAGGCAGTCTGCACAACTTCACTCCAAGACGCCCTCACAACTGGCCTCCTGACGGGAACATTTCCAAGGTGAGTTTCAGGTTCGTAAGTATTGGACACGGGATAACTGGCTCAGGTTGGCTGGAATCCTAGGGCTAAATCAGTACTGGTTTTCTCACTTATTCCTCAATCAAGAGAAGTGTGAAGGAGCAGAGACTGGGATCAGGTCCATACCCGGCCTTACCAGGCTACTAGCCATATAACCTTCACCGAAGAGGCTAAGCTAAGAAGGGAGTTCATGGAAATAATCAAGGCACCTGACCTCGTAAGATAACCTTAGAAGGTGCTTAAGGATTAAATAAGTTAATGCATGAGAAGTACTTAAAATAGTGCCTGGAAAATGTTAAGGGTTCAACCAACATTAGCTATCATTTTATTTACTCTATTTATTACCTCCCCCCTCTATTATATTCGATCATTGCAAAGAGTAGTTTGGGGATAGATTTCAGGTTCTCTTTTTAGGTATGGGAACATCACTTTTCCTTAGGAAGTTTGATAACATAGTAAGGGACTTGGGTAGCAAAACGCTACCATGTTGACATTCGGATGGGACATTCAGTCATTCTAAATTTTGTGAATCTGGGGATGGTACTAAATGACTGTATGTGCACACAGCTCCCCAGGACTTTGAGGGAAAGGAAACATGTGAATCACATAAGGTTAGAACTGCCCCTTTGCTAACAGCTACCTGAAGTAGCTGTATCACTTTCAGCAGAAATCACTCACATGAGAAACAGAACCCTACAGATTACCCAGAGTGACCTTGCAGCATTAGAGGCTGAATAAAGCAGGGAAGAACGTGGAAACGCTGTCACTATATTTAGAGATTCTAGCTTCTCTATGAGAACAAAGGGCTGACTTAGAGTGAAGGCTATTAACAGGCTACACTTTGAAGGGCAAGAACACATTGCGGGGAACTGCAAATGGATCTGAAATGGGGCCCGGCTCTCTCTTCCTTACCGAACGCCACAGGGCAGTCACGGGGCCTGCTAGCCTGCAAACCCTACCAATGGGAATTGCCTCAGCTTTCGGGGCAGGCCCAGGCTGCCATGGACCAACCACGTGACCGCTGCATCTTCCCTCACTACAGCTTAGAAGACCAAGTGCAGACACCTGACCCAAGAGCTTAACAGTGACCCCTGACACTGAGAATGAGATGGTTAGCTGTGAGGAGTGAAGCTGAAAGGTTATGATGTCAAAAGAGCTGGAGAGGTCATGGGGACCACAGGAAACCAGTCATGAGGATGCAGAATCCACAAGGTAGAGACAAAACAGAGATGCCTTGAGAGACCCCACCATCCACGAGAAAGCCTGTGCTCATCTCTGAGCTGCCTTAGTTCCTGACAGTGCTCTGGTCCATGAGCATCTTTGAACCATATCCCGTTTCTTAAAATGGTCTGAATTAATCTCTCTGCTCCTTACAACAACAACAAAAAAACACTAACTAAAAGTGACTTCAGCTCTGCTGCAGATGGAGTTTTCCCAGGAGGCAGGTTGGTGCCTCCAATCAACAGATTCCTGGCAAGTGCCCCGGCAGACGTGCCTAGACCTCCCAGCAGAGCAAGGGTGCCGCATCCCTTCGGCAACCTCAGCAGAGGCACTAGGGCCTACAAGCATCTCAAAGGCTGATGAAAATGTTTGAGACCTGAAAAAAAAATTTTATTGGATGCAAAATATGAAAAAAACGTAAAATCAAAGTTAATAAATGTTTGTCTACAACTAGTCCAATGAAGCTTACGTCTGTTTTGTATAAGTTAGCTTCATGTGGGACATGGGTACATTTTTAATGTTTGATATACGACATGGTAAAGGCCACCAGGGGTAAGAGTGCCAAGGTCTGCAAACCAGTCCCGCAGAAGTGGACATGTCTGGGCTTAAGCTGAATCTGCCCCGAACCCACACCCTTGTGTAAGTTTACACCTTACATGTTACTCCTTACCACTCAAAACTGAGCAGTCCCAAGTCAGAAACCAACCCCCACCTCCCAAATTTAAAACATATTATTTTAGTAGTTTTGTTCCTAAGAGTCTCTATTTTCTGTTCTTAATGAAATATTTTAAATGAAGCCAAACAAATATTAGCCACCCTATTCATTTTACCAAAAAGAAAGTTACTCATGATTACAAATGTCCTATACATTTAAAGTAATTAACAAATTTTGACATTTTTCAGAATAATAAATCAAATACTGGTCACATTTACTCTCTTAACTTGTGCAAGAGCCCCTTCAAATGTCATAAATAGACCTAAACATTCTCTTCCATTTGGTGAGATTCTCAATCAGAGAAAAATAGGAGGTGGCACAGAAGTCAAACAAAATTTAAATCTTATACTTGAGATGATGGTGTTAAAAGAATGAAAAAGCTCAAATATATGGTGATGGAAAGAGAATTGACTCTGAGTGGTGAATACACAATGTGATATATACAGGATGTATTACAGAACTGTACACCTGAAATCCAAGTCACTTTGCTAACAATTGTCACCCCAATAAACTTGAAAAAGCAAATATTGGGTTGTCGGAAAAGTCATGATGTATTTTTTCTATGTTTTTCGTTCCAAAATGCGTCCTGACTTTTCTGACAACCCAATATAATTCTCTTTCTGTAATCACTGTTGATTATGGCTCATGTTGATATGCAGACACGCTGTCCATCTGTTCTCTGGAGCGTCTCCTGACCTGTCTAGCTATGACGAATTCACTCTTCTCTCACTGCTGAGCTTCCCACAAACATCTACACCTGTTTCTACCTCGTATACACACCTGCTCCCTCCTCCACACCCCAAACTCGCCCCCCTCCCTACACCACTTCTGCAGAACCACTCAAAGTCAGGATCTTGTCCAGATCTCAAGGCTGGTCTCCGGGTTCACTCTGACTCCTAGTTTACACATGTCTCCTTGGCTCCCAACCCCTGCATGTTCTCACTTCTCCTCTGGCCCCTGTGGTCACCAATCACTTCTTTTATTCCTACTTCCTAAAGCAAGTGTCCTCTAAAGGTGTCCTGACTCCATTTTTTAGCTCAATTGCCTGCTTGGCTTGAATAAGGGCCGTTTTCATGATGGTAATTCCACACTCTCTTATGACCAGTTTTGTTTTCTTACCTGTATTTCCAACTGCCTACAGGATCATGTCTCTATCAGCCCATGAAGAACTGAAAATCACTAATTTGCCATATTCCAAATCCCTAAAAAAGCGACATCTCCCCTCAACAGCTATCCCAGGCTAGGAAGCGAAAAGCCAACTCCCCTCCTCCCCGACCCTACACATCCTTCACCTTTATCTTCTCTCTGCTCGTGTTTCCCTTCAGCATTTAAACACAATGCAAAGTCTTTTCTATGTTTTCTATCTATGAAAACCAACAGTTAATCCTACCCTTTCTCTAGCTGTCGGTGCTCCCTCCCCCACCCATTTCCCCCATCCAGGCGTCTTCATTTTCCAGATTTCTACTGGTTCACTTCCCATTCATTCCTCAACCCACCACACCAATGAAGTTCCTCCTGGCCAAAGCCAAGGGCATTTGTCACTCTTTACCTTACTGGACACACCCACCACACCCTCTGGCTCCCTCCTGTAAGCCCACTGCCTCAGGGTTCTGCTCTTGCCACATAAGCCCTTTTTCTCAGTCTGCGTGGAGAGCTCCTGCTCCCCCATAAATACCAGTCAGTGTTCCCGTGGGTTCCATCCTGGCTCTCCTCTGCCCCCAAACGGCACCTACACAAGTTCCAACCTTCTAGTCCACTGGTTCTTGACTCTGGCTGTTAAAGAAAACCTTTCATAGATAGGAGTCTGTGTTTTCACTGTTCGTAATGCCTCCAGAGGGCACTCAAACACTTGCTCAGAAACCCTACTGGATATTTACACCAAGGTACTGGAACTTGAAAAGAATTTCACAATGGATTACTGCCTCTAACTAGTGAGCAAGCATCACGAAGATTTGTACAATATGTGCAGGTTCCCTGATTCCAGCACTGAGTCTGGGGGCTGATAGGTCCCAATCCTATTGTAACATGGAGATGCAGTAATAAGTCACTGAATAGTGGATGAGAAACCTGACTTATGTTTGCTAGCCAATGCCAAGTACTCTGAATCAGTGAAAGAGTCTTAAATCCTATGAAGGTTAATCCTACACATTGGAACCGTGCATCTAAAAATCATTTTGAAAGTCAGAGGGAAGGAAATAACAGGGTTTACGGTACAGAAGAATTGGGGTTCAGACTATTTTTATGAATTGTTTTATCATTTACCCATGAGGCAGACTTTATAATCTTTGGGACAGAGGTTTGCTCTGGCTACAAGCGTTTGCTCTGGCTACAAGCGCTTCTTCACAAGACCTGTCACAATACCATGGAAGGCACTGCAAAATAAGATGTGGAAATAAGCTATGATTATTTTATGAACTTGCAGGGGTTATGAAAAATGAATGAGCTCTAGAATAGCTTTACTGAATTTCTGATAATATATCAGGTGACACAAGAGACACTGCATATTCCACAGTTAGAATAAAGGTATAGAAATGCTTCAGTATTAGAAAGCAATATAAATTACTGCTTTTTAAAATTATACTTTGAGTGCTTCTGAGACAACTCCAAAGTTAAATTTCACTTTTTAAAAATCTATCTTCTTCCAATCTTCTTCCAGATACAAACGAGTATCTACTATAGTCACTGGTTATCCATCTTGTGATTCTTCCACGTGGACTAGCTGTGGTAATACTTTAAAACTAGACTAAATGACTTCAATTTGC